ACATCTAGATCAATCTATTCGTGGGGAGCAGCATGTGCCGGAAAACGGGTCCAGCGTCCCATAGGGACTTTTACAAAACATGTAAAGAGTCGGAACCATTACCCTGCTTTGGGTAAGAGTTAACTGAGAGTATTCATGAGAATTTAGAAAACCATGAGCAACTACTACCTTGTATCTTGAATCCACAGAAGCTTACAGCCTAGAACCAAAATGCTTTCGTGCTATTTGGCCGCCTACCCTAAGCCTGCCTCAACCCCCATGTCCTCTATACTCGGTCTCTACCAGGCCTCACATCCCCAACTGCTAGGTAACAGAGTGCCACGACCCACTCCAGAATAATCCCCCACCTGCTGGGCTACAGGGCAAAGCGACTCACCCCGGCTCCGACCAACGTCGTCCGAGTATCAGCTTGCCAACAGACACTGGAGTGCCTTCCACCCTCGACAACTCCCCAGATCTCTCTCCGAGGCCTCTTGCCCCCGTACAGCTCAGGTTACAGGGCAGCGCGACCACGCCCCAGCACCGACCAGTGTCGTTCTGGCCTCGTCCGTTCACAAACCTCTGAATTCACGGGTGTCAGTAAACATCAGACAAGCCGCCGACATCACCATAACAATGGTTCCAATGCCTCCAACTCCTACAAGTGCTGGTTGCAGTCCATCAACCCCATGCATCTATCCTTCACAACCCCACTCCGGCAAAGACTTACCACAGTAGAGCCACCATCCCTACCGCTGCTGTGCCCTACATCCATCCTGCTAACAAGCCTTCCTCACCGCAGGACGGAATACCAACCTTCCTGCCAGACCTTCACACCAAACAATACACCACCTCCCCACTACAACCAGCGTCCAACTTTTTAAGAATTTCAAGAATTTTAAGTTTTTTTTGAAAACTCAGAAAAGTCTAATACACAGCCGACCTGAAGAAAATTAGGAAATATCACCTACATCCAAAAAGAGAACAGGAGGGAGAAAATATCCTCATCTAATGCAGGTTCTAGTGTTCACCCGGGATTCCACAACACGTAATAAGCTCACTTCGTGGCCATCGAAGTTACTCCTTCCCTTACGCAGCATGAAATCCTTTCATACTATAGGCCTCGCTCTACCACTCAAAATTCAACAGAGACGCATTCCCCACAATCAAACATTTGGAATGCACGTGGACAGTTTCCAGGTCCAGATGCATTCAGGACGTTGTGCAGTGGAGGGAGGCCCAATTTCACCATAATTGTTTCAACTTTCAAGTTCAAATACAAGGCTTTTCAGCACCGTCTCCTTCATCTTCGTCCATAACAGAATTTCTACACAACTACAGATGGCCTGAGTCAGCACTGTAGCTGTAAGGAGAGGAACTCTTCCAGTGTGTCAGATAGAATTCCATTCCCAGGAGCACTCATGCACCACGAATCTCATCAGCTTCAACAGTAATCTCTCACTGCTCTTGTAATGAACTTGCTGAGAATGTATTGTGGAGGGTCCTACCTATCCTGGCTTGCTGTTCTGTCAGATGCTAAAGGTAAGAAGACCTTTCCAGCCAAGTCTCATTAATTGATCATAGTGGAAATGCTACACGAACAAAAAATAAATAAAAATAAAAATAAAGGGAATGCCGCAGGGAGTGTGTTACCAACCGGGCCACTGCGCAGTTCATTTTCCTGCACAACATAATTTTTTTTTCGGATTATTTTGGATTCTATTTAGAGGGTACCCCTGCAAGCATAGGGCCTCGCAAACCAGGTATCATGGACCATTTGTTTTGCCAAATCACGAATAAAAAATAAATTTGATGAATTCGTTTTTGGCAAAAGGGGGCAAGTGGTCTCTGGCCAGACTGGTAACATGGTGGTAACATAGGCGCGAACCCAAACATATGAAAACAAAACAGAAAGGCTGTTGTAGGTAGATGCTTTTTCCCTACTTTGCAGTTTTTTTTCTGTTCAATTGACAAGTTTGAATTGCTCGAGGATGCTGGTTTTAGGAAGGTTTGGTAAACATAATGTTTGCAGTGTGTTGACACAGAGGTCTGTTTATTACTCCAAAAATGTGTTTGGACAGTCCGTGAAAATCTGATGCTTGGCCAAGAAGAAGGGGAGGTGGACGAGCAGGAGCAGCAGGAGGAGGAGGAGGGAGGGAAGGAAGAAGAAGAAGAAGAAGAAGAAGAAGAAGAAGAAGAAAAAGAAGAAGAGTTTCCAAGCTCACACCATATCAGGGTATGAGAGCAGACAGTCCATACATTCCACGTGATGCCTCCAGTTCAACGAGTGCCCTTCAGTAGCAGGTCATCAGTGACCCTATCATCGCTGGTGGCAAGTAACACCTAGACCTTGCCCCTTGCCACAATGGTCATGTACTCTAAACCAGCAAACACCATCAGTTCGGTCACAAGTCCTTCAAACTCCCCAGCATCTTCCTCCCACAACCATGCCACTTCTGGCCCCTCTGCAAATTGTTATCCCCAAAACATCTACAATGCTATTGTCCTGTTTTTCAAGACCGTGGTGCTCCTCCACCCACCTTCCCTTTCGCAACCCACAATTCTTTTTTCTATGGTTGTTGCCTATATTTTCTACGTTTCTCGTGTGCTACATCGCTTTCCTTTTCTTTTTTTACCTTCTTGTTCGTATTTGCCTTCTTTTGCCAAGATCTACAACAACAATGAGGGCGTACTCACACTAGCAGTATCTCAAATGTATCTGACCGCATTCACGGCCATACCTTGATGTATCTGGCTGCAATTCCCTCCAAAAATGCGTAAAAAAAGTCCTAGTGTGAACGTGCCCTGAGCCTCGCTCCACTACTCTCCAAATGTGCAAACTGAGAGTGAATCTTCCGCTTGAACATGGGAGAAAAAAAGATCGGAACATCGGAAAGATACACCGCCATGATTTTCGTCGTTTGTGCATGTCGCAAACAATGGAGCAAGCGAGGCCCAATTTTTTTATTTCTTTCAAAGCAAGGCCCAATTGGTGGTTTGTTTTGTTATCTCAAAGTCCAAATGTCTGACAATGCACGGCCACACAGAGGTGTCATACCCCTCCGCCCCTTCAGAGGCGCGGCGGTGAGGGGGGGGGGGGGGGGGGGGGGGGGGGGGGGGGTGAATGCCCCCCTTATCAACTCCATGTGTGTGGGGAGCCGCCTACTCCTTGTATTCTTGCCGTTTGCTGATCTCCCCTTGTCCACCACTAGGCCAACCCGTTATATGTGAAGTGTGTCCGAACCTGAAAGCCAAACCTGATTAACGAATAAAATTCTGAGGAAACCAGAGGGGGAAGCAATGTCTGCACCAAAAAGCAGAACTGAAAGGTGGTAAAGAGGACCACGAAAAAAGAGCGTAAGAAGGGGAGGCAAAATGGAGGCGGTGGCGGCGGCGCAGGAGGAGTCGCAAGAGGAGGAGGAAGAAGAAGAAGAAGCCAAAGAAGAAAGAAGAAGAAAGAAGAAGAAGAAAACGAAGAAAGATACAAGGAGGGAGAGGATCTTATTACCCAGTCGACCTCGCTCCTGGATCTCTTCCAAGAGAACGGGTGGAAACCCCACTACCGTCTTCACCGGAATATATTTGGGGCAAATTCCCTACGAACAACCCTCTTTCGTTTTCTCCACTCATAGGGCCTCGCTCCGAGCACTTAATGTGCAAAATGAGAATAAATCTTCCGCGAGAACATGAAAAGGTACACCACCATACTTGGTCTCTTGTGCACGTGGAGTGAGGCCCATTCTGCTTCACTCGTTTACCTTTCTTCACTTTCAGAAATCACGGGCCCTCACTGTCGCTCTCCTCCTCCTAAATGAGGGCAGATTCTGATGCCCACCCACCCCCAGACCTCTTTCCAAACCTTCTCCGACCCTGTACCTCTATGACACCGCGAATTCTGACGAAAATATAACTTCATTTTTTTGTGTAATACAAAAATAGAATTCGCCCAACCCCAGACAGAACCCACGTACACCAGGTGTCCCACTAGCAGCGTTGAGTGTCTCAACGCCCGAGTCTGGACGTGGTTGTGGAAATGTGCAGAAAATCGCTATGAGTTTCCTCAACCGCACATCTCCACAAAGACGTCCAGATTCGGGCGTTGAGAAAAATCAACGCTGCTAGAGGGGCTTGGTCCTGGGAATACTTCAACAAACAAGCCTCGGCACGGCCTTCCCCTTTGTTTTGAGTGATAAAGAAGTTGGATTTTCCAAAAAAAAAAACAAAAAAAAAACGGACGCTATCCAAACAAGTGGGGGGTGTAGAGAGGGTGAGGGCGTACTCACACTAGGACGTTTGAACGTTATAGCGGTCAGATTCGTCCGGGTCTGGCTGTAATTGCAGTCAGATACATGTAGAAAAGTACTAGTGCGAGTATGCCCTGAGTCACTTCATCCTCGCCCCTACCCCCTCTGATTGCCGAAGGGAAGACCTACCAACGCTGGGAAGTAAAGGGCCACATGATTCTAAACGACTATAGAGTCATTTTGAAGGGGTGGTCGCCATTGTTGGCTATTTTTAGCACGTGGAACGTTCCACGCACGCCTGGACGAGCCGACCACATACTCCATCTGTAAAAGGCGCACTTCTTTAGGGATGGGGTAGGGGGTCATATGAAGATCCGCCATCGCGGGTCTTTTGCCAGACACGGGTCCCGCAAAAGCATCAGAAAAAATCATAATAATAAAAATAAAAAGAATCGGGAAGAGCGCCTGGTCTAACTCGGTGCATACACCCACCAACTTTTCAAATACAGACCTCAGTTCGAATCCGGATCGAATCATTAGAGGTAATTACCGATCGGGAAGAACTTTCAGCTCTGGATTTACCTGGGACTGGCGAGTTCCAAGAAAAGCATCGGATAGAACACAGAAAAGGGGAAGGGGCACTGGGTCCGTTTGAAATAAAAGCTCCAAGGTTGTAAGAAAGAAAGAGAAAAAAAAACAGATAATAGGGGACGCTAAGTAGGCACAGAAGGGCACACAACTCCAACCATACCTTTTCAACTGAGAGCATCCTCACAGTGCCACATTTCTGAATGTATGCCACATTTCTGAATGTATGTGACCACGACTACGGTACGCCGTAGATGTACCAGACCACAATTGCGTCCACAGATTGGTCGAAAAAGTCCCAGTGTGGGTACGCCCTGAATCTGGCTGATAAGCGAAGGAAAGTTCAGGAGTCGGTAAAAAGCCTTAATACCGTAATAGCCTGGCTATCCACGCAATGTGGCTGACGGTGCACACAGTTACCTGTTAACAAACGTCATGATTTTGAATCCTGATAGAATACATTGATACAATAGGGTTATCAGCTACCCAGTTTTGAACGAAAAAAGAAAACGATTAAGAGCCTCAACACTTCCACATCTGAGGAAATGTAAGCTATAAAAGATGTTTTGACCCGATCTTGGTGAAGAACTGTCTCCTTGAGTGCGCTCTATTGTCAGACGTAGGTCTAGGTTTGGTAAAAGGCTGAGCGGAACGCTTCTTCGTACATCTACCCCAGCGATTATTGCACTTCTTCGACGCAAACAATAGCCCATTATCATCCATTACTGACTCCGCTCAGCTCCACGATCCGCTTCTAGGTTCACCCCGTGATGGAAATTGAGCTGTCCGCACTACAGAACTACCAGCATACTATAAATGGCTCGCACCCATCCAAAGCTACTCTCTCTCTCTCTCTCTCTCTCTCTCTCTCTCTCTCTCTCTCTCTCTCTCTCTCTCTCTCTCTCTCTCTCTCTCTCTCTCTGTGTGTGTGTGTGTGTGTGTCAGAGCTTTCTGAGCATGTGTACTGTCGTTCAGATCCAAGGGAGGTTACCTCGGAATCAATTCACATACACGTTCCTCTCCGCAGACTTACTGATCCTGAGTGTCCCTTTCGTCCAATTACTATCGCTGCAGTAAAATCGCAGCCCATCAACGACATTGATGGATTTGTTCATGTGCATTTGATGGGGGGTAACTCACATTTCGAGCGACACAGCGTGCCCTCTTACGTTACCCTAATTCAGCTTCAGTCCTCCGGACGGTGAGGAGCTTCAGGGAGCTGGGGTGAATTGCCGGATAGAAGAAGTACAATCACACGTATATGATCTCGAGTACCTAGAGTACCATAGGACATAAACAGAGGAGTCCAAATGTCTACCAGCGTTCACCTCCATATTTTCCCGAAGCAGGGTGGCATCGCCCCGACGGCTGACAACTAAGACCGCCCCCGCGCGATGAACCTGGTCGGTTTATCGACCCACTCAGATCGGGAAGCTGGGACCCAACTCCTGAGATCCGCCACTGGATTCGGACAGAGGGAGGCTAAGAAAACCCCAGAAAACCGCATTTCCCGTGCTTCCTCCGGAAAAGAGCGGGGGCGTGGATGGAGGAAAGAGAGGAAGGTGGGGAGGTGTTCATCCCTATGATGATAATGATGATCTACGTGTTCAGATGCCGGGATCGAACAAGAATACGAACAAAAAGAAAGGAAGAAAAAGAGAAGAACAGCAAAATCTATAAGACCAGACCATGTGACAGCCAGAAGTGACTTAGCTGGGATCGGAGAGAAACGTAGGGATAGGACCATCATGGACCATATTGATGTGAGGCAGCAATATGGCAGAGGGATACGAGACAGCGACCAGCTGGAGACGCATTTGATGACTACACAAGGCAGAAGACGAATAAGAAGAAAAAGAAAAGGAGGAAGAAGAAGAACAAGAACAAGGAGAAAGAAGAAAGGCCGAGTAGGTGGAGGAGGAAGGAGGTTGAAGGAGGACGGGGGAGTACGGAAGACGAGGGCAGGGATTGTCAACATGTCACGCCTCGGTGCATTTGGCAATCAGACGAAGGCGACCAGAAGACGAAACAGAGAAGAAAGCAGCGGGGAGTTGCGGCAAGGGTTCTCAGCCCACCACGTGGCGTCGCTAAGAATGAGACGAAGACGACGTGGACAACCACGGAGAAGAAGAAAGAAGAAGAAAGTAGTCGTAGGAGAACGAGAAGTTGCAGCGCATGGAGCCAGGGTCATAAGGACCTGTCTTTTTCTAAAATCAAGAGGAAGAAACAAAAAGAAGAAAAAACAAAAACAAAAACATGAAGATAACGAAGAAGAGGTGTTACTCCTAATAATGGATATGGAGCCAGGGTCATAAGGACCTGTCTTTTTCTAAAAACTAAAAAGAGAACGAAGGAGAAGAAGCGATAAAAGACGGGGGGTAGGGCTGTCAGCACAACAAGCGGGGGCATATTCGACGACTCCTGAAAGAAGAACAAGAAGAAGAAAAGGACGGCGAGGGAGGGCTCAAGACCAAAGAAGAAGAAGTTGAGGCCCAGGGATTAGGGCCAAACGTGCGAAAGAAAGTGTTTCTTGACAACTTCGTCTCAATCCTTTCCTTCCCCACGTGTCGCCTGTGTATGTCCTCTTTCCTCGCTTACCAGGCTCCTAAACTTTTCTGAAGTGACTCAGCGAAGCACCATAGAACACGTGCAAACAGATAAACACCCGATGGCTCAAGCCACAATGCCCACCTACCTAACCTTCCCTTTTCGCTTCCCGATCTCGTTCCCCCTTCCTCCTTCCCTTGGCTTTGCCTGGGCTTTTTCTCCGCTATTGATAGCTTCCTCCCTCTCCATTACCTGGGCTTTTTCTTCCCTATTGATAGCTTTCCCCCCCCTCCTGTTCCCGCAACGCATCGTCATCGTCGTCTTCCCCTAATCACTGTGCCGCTGCCTTGCACGTCCTCCACACCCTGTACCCGCTTCCTGTTTTTGAAGGAAGCCACAAAGAGAAGCACACCCCATCGCCAAACGGCCGAATGGGAACGAGAGTCCGACATTACCAGCACAAATCCTTGCCTAAGGGAAGGCCTTGTCAACCAGCCCACAGCCATCCGCCTTTAATTAAGCAGGGAGAGGGGAGTCGGGGGGACTGAATGACTTTCAAATTTGTGGGCAACACAATGTTTTGCTGGTGAGACGTGAGGAGAAGAAGGAAAAGGCGAGGAGCGAGCAAGCAGAAGAGCGAGAAAGAAGACGAACGACGAAGCATGTACAGGCACAGGGCGAACAGAAAGACACATCAGCCGTTGGAGTTTCGTCTTTTCTCTTTTTTCACCAGTACAGAACTTTGCGCACGGAACACTAAATAAATAAAAATAAATACTTCTGAAAAACTCTTTGAAAAAATGTTCAATGGAACACAAATGCTGGCCCTAGGAACAGCCGAGACTGGCAGCAGAAGCAATGGCGACGGCTATGGCGAAAACAAAGAGGACTCTTGCGATGCGGCGGCGGCGGCGACGGCGGCGAGCTCTTGAGTAAGTAGCATGCATGTTTGATCTGTCGCTAGCTCAAATTCCACGTTTTCTCAAAACGCACGACCGGCGGCTTTGAAGTACCTCCCACGGGTCTCTTACAACCTACTCTGAATGATCCTGTGTCAGATTTCCGCACCCACTCCAAATCCACAGCATGCGTAGAGCCATTGTACGCCGCCGTGAGCGTGTCCCTGGAGGAAGGATTATGGGTAGCATGGAAGGACCAGGAGGCAGTGGCGAAATCGTAGGACGGCTCCAACGTGGTGTCGCTGGTATGGATGTACCGGTACTTGATGGCGGCAAGCTTCGCTGCTGAGAAGTTATACTTGCCGGAAACACTATTCTTAGAATCGAAGACGAGAGTGCTCTCAAGAGTTGTGGTAGGGCTCTTACTTGTTTCTTGAGGATGAATATGATTATGGCTGTACGCAAGCTTCACGGTCTTGCCCTTGATTGACGCTGAGGAGCGAAAGACAAACTTGGTGGCCTTGGTAGCGGCATCGTAATCGATGGAGAAGACTTGCGGCTTTTCCACACCTATAGCCACACCTGTCAGCTCGCGCCCGCCGCTGCCACTGGAGGCGAAAGACCTGTCTGTGCACGCCAACTTCAGTCGCAAGTCCCCCACACCCAGAAGCAGCACGCCTGCCGCAGACTTCGAACCTGTGTCATATTTCGCTTTCAGGGTCGGCTTCGACATACTGCCCGCCACCACAACGCAGCAAGAAAGAGAAGCACCTCTCTCTCTCTCTATCTCTCCCCCCCCCTTTTCCTCGCTAGCTTGCTTGTAGACGGCAATGGCTGTGCCCACGGCTGAACACCTCTGCATCGAATGACAGGCTGGTTGCACTACTCGGCACCACACTTGCTCACCCCACCACATTACTCGCCATCCGCCAAAATGTGCGGCGAGCGGCCTCCGCGCAGGTTCTGGGGCCCAAAAATTCCCGCGCCGGCAACATGGATCTGGTTGGTGCTGGCCAATAGCCTTCCCCAGCCCCAGGAGGCGCGCAGGTGCCCCGGATTTTGGTTCAGGCTGGGGAGAGCAGTGCAACGAAACCGTCGCGAGCTCGACGACCCATTTCGGGCGAGGAGCGCTCTGGCCCACGTCGCCCTGGCCCACTTTCCTGGCAGGTTTGAGCAATTCCACCGCTGTCGTGGAACCTTTGCCGTTCCCCCCAAGCCCTACGTCATACCCCAACACAACATGGCCATGAGCGGTCCGAGATAGCCACTATCTTGTTCAGGACTGTGACCGCAGGAGGCGTGGGGGCGCAGCCAGGGGGTAGGAGATTGTAGCCCCGGGGGCTGCGGGGAGAAGCATATTTTTTACTAAGTTTTGGGCGTGATTGCCATGAGATGCGTGAAGTTGTGGATTCCCGAGAGGCCAGTTGCCAAGAGATTTTCGCCAAGTCGCGAACAATTCATGACCAGAGGAATTTTTTATATATATAATTTTTTTTTTGGTTTATTTTTTTCAAAAGGTGACATATCAATTTAATGTTTGAAAAGAAGGAGGCCGGGGACCTGGCAAATAAACCTTGATTAATTTCGGCAGTGTCAGCTGGTTGAGCTTTTTTTTTTTTTTTTTTTTTTTGAAAAACACGGGCCCAGTGCCCAAGGCTGATATTATCAACAAGAAGCTTGAGGCCGGGGTCCTCACAGTCTACCCTGAGTGATTGAACCGATCATTTCGAAAACCGAGCTTAGCGTCTCTCATATGATGATGATGATGATGATGATGATTAGTATAAAACCACATAGAAGACCATGCTATATAGGCAATTTTGGCCTCGTTTTAAGATCACTGAAGACCTCCTTAAATCCACCGCAGTTTTCCGAACAGTCAAGTATCTAAGGGATTTCCAACAGATCACACTAATACTTACTAAAACCGACTTATTATCTGACAAACTCGTCTAGGTCTGACGCCCCCCTTTAGGTGTACCAAACGATAAAAATTGTCATTAGGATACTGATTTTTCTTACAGAAGAGCACATTTTTTCACATTATACTTTAGACCGAGGGTGAGCGAGGTCTATCTTACAGCTTTGTACTGCTTAAAGAGGGAGAGGAGGGAAGTAGGGAGAATGCAAGTGATGGCTCAAAGCAACAAAACTAAAACAATAATGGGGAAACAGAACAGCATAAGGAGAAAGGGTATTAAGTTAGAGCAATTCATACGACAGGATTATTATTTTATGCACAAGAAAAGTTTGTTTATAGTCGGGTCCTATACTATGGTATAATTGATAGGATCTATATGATCTGTTTTGTCTTTGCGCTTACTCTAGTGGAGGTCCATATGAACAAATGTGAAAAAAACAATTTAATTAGTATCAAGTAGTGTACCTTATCGTGTTATAGAGTGAGGGTGAGATGACCAGCTTGCTTTCCGTTGTAACTGCTGCTAGTTTGTTTCTTTTTGTTTAGGTGAATAAGAATCAATTTATTTTGTTTTGTGCGGTTTTTCTATGAGAAGAAGAGAAAATTGAGAAGACAATGGAATAACTAGTAGATAAAGATGTGAAAGTAGTTGGAATGTGAATCTCAAATCTTTATGTCCAACAAACAAGGATTTTTTTACAGTGAAAAAAAAAATCAGAGCACATTGTAATTTTTTTGTCATTTGAGATTAATGTTGAAGTCTCTAAATTAGCTTGTTGTCTGTGTGGTATCGGATTGCATGCATATGTTGTTTGATAGTTATTGAACATATACAATTTATTTTTTGGGCTTTATCTAAGTGAAATGTGATTGAGGAATCAGAAATAGTATGTTAATATTAGTCAATTTTTACTCAATTATATTATCAGAATTGGGAGGTGTGTTTGGTCGAAGGGGTAATGTATAGATGGGAAGGGGTTGTGGTATCATATATTGGAAATCAACATCAATTATTTTATCTTGGAGGTTCTAGTAATTTGTGATGATTAAAAGTGTAATGAAATGTGATAGTTGTTCCTATCAGTAGAATGCCATAGTTTTCGTTGTAGTTGTAGACTGCGGCTGTTCGTAGCAATGGAATCAGATTTTTGTATGTGTCTATGTATTTTGTGCTGAGCGCTGCATGGATGTCATCGAATGCTTCCGGTTGATCTGTATCCGTTAAATACATCGTAATCATGTTTTGTCGTCCTCATCGCCATTTGTGATGATATACCAGAAGTCCAGTTTCCGTGATTGACGTCGGTTGATACATGGGAAGGACACGAAGATATCGTTCGAGGTCGATAGTTTTCGTGTGATGTATGTATCGTTCATGTCGCGTTGTGTCCTCCATGCAGTTGCTTGGTCTTGAAGATGCGTCCGACATTATTTTTTATCTGCCATGAAATATCATGAAGATAAAAATGAGTTATTTTATAGTTATAGTATGTATTGATAAAATAATGTTATGTTTTATATTGTTGTATGGTATGAAAAAAGAAGAAGAAAGTATAATATTTTTGTTTAATTCAGAATGTATATAAAAGTGAAAGATGCGTTGAAAGCTATAAGGGATGTAGAAATGAATCTATGGTGAATAGTATTAGTTAGTAGAATTCTTGTTCCGGGATGAGGAATATCAAAAAGACAAATAACATCGTCGATGATTGCAATATGAAGATTTTGAATGTTTGGTGATAATGGTTTGGCATCTGCTAAAAATATATATAAAGAGATAAAAGTTGTGGAGTGGTATGCAAAGTAAGAGACAATAATGCCTTCTTCATTGATTTGTGTTGCATGATAGAGATTGTGTTGTTGTAAGTATATGCGAAGAGTGTTGAAAGATTGATGAAGGATTAACATAATGTATTGGCGTTGAATATGAACAAACACCTGCAAAAAAAAAAAAAAAAACGAAGAAATGAAAAATACATATGTATGTTTATTAGGGAAAAATTATTTTAAATGAGGTCAATTTATTAATTTGTTGGATTTGAAATTCAGAGGATATATATAAATATGTAAGGTGAAATTTTTGTATATTGGAACATTATTATAGAGAAGAATGATAATATAAGAAAAGTGAGAAAAAAAAGTATGAGGTTTTATTTGATTTTTGTGTTTCTTACCTTATAGTTCATGTTGTTTTATCTTGATATTGTTGAGCATTTGATGCAGTCGCTGTCGAATTGTTTCCAGAAGAAATTTGATCAGTTGATGTTGATTGCACATTATGTTGTGCAATTCTGTTTCATGGAGCAGGTTCCATTGATCTTGCATTGGCATTGAAGCATGGATAGTGGATATCATTTCATTCGTGTATTCTATGACCTGTTGTTTGTTTGAATGTCAACAACGTTCCGATGGGTGGCATAACAAAGTTTTCGGTATAATCGTATATAGTCTCTTTGCGTAAGAGCGATAGTATGTCGTTGTATGTAGTTCTATATATGTTTGTGAGTTTTCAATGTATGTCATCGACTTGCGCTTTTTGGTCTGTATCAGCGAGAATCATGATCACGCGTACATCTCTTGTCCAACGCCATTTGAATTGAACAAGGTATCCTCTTTCAGTTACTATCAACGGTCCTGCAGGTCTTGACTCTTCGATAAATGCTTGCAGCTCAGACATTTTGTCGTGGATGATGTGTCTCTTGGTACGTTTTTTTTTACGCATGTCCTTTGATAGTCGCAAGATCTCTTCCATATCAGGTCTGTTTTGTTTAGGCCATAAAGCATCTTAGTCGACATTCGTTGCTGCAGTGTGTGATGTGCCAGATGACATTATATGAGTACAGGGATAAAAATACGATTTATTTTTTATGTATAAAAAGAAATGTGGAGAAAAATATAAAGAATACATTTTAGAAAGGAAAGAGAAAAAAATTATGGGAAGAGAAAGAAAGGAAAGGAGGGAGAAAAGGAAAAAAAAACAGGGGGAGAGGAAAGAAAAAAAAATAGAGATACAGATTGAGAGGCATGAAATATTTATTTGGTGAATTATTTTGTAGTCATGTGTTTAAGAAGTCAATGATGAATAATTTTGTTTATATATGGGTTTTATTCAATGCCAAGCGATTGAAAAGCAAACAATGCTAAATCATTATTATCATGATCGACTCGAAAAGCGCGTCCGTATTCAGTAAAAGATGTGAGTTATTAAATCGAATGAGAAGAAAAATATGAATATATATTTAATGTCATATAATATGGTTGAGTATATAATAGAACCACGGACCACGGCCCCAAAGAAACCATTGTGCAAGAAAGGATGAATTTTCAGTTGTGTTTTGACGAAAAGCAAATTGCAGGTGTTCAGAAAGATTGACAAGTTGTGTTAATATGTGAGAGTTATAATTGTGGTTAATAATATAAAGTCGAAGCGAGGTTGCTTTATAACGAGTTAGTTGTCTTGATACTGGGGTGATGAATGTGCAAAGTGTAAGTATAAAAGTGTAAAAAAATATTTTAAAATTTGTTTGATTTATTCTTATCTAGTTGGATAAATTTTCGTCAAATTCTTGTGTTGCGCTAAACGATAAAGAATGTAATGGGATGTTACGAAATGTAATTAATGAAAGAAGAACAAATGAAAAGAAAAAGTGTGATATTATTCGTATAGCAACGACGATATCGATGATGAAAATTTTTCTTTTGGTCGGATCAAAATATCATTAGTGTCGTGTGTTGTAGAAAATGAAATAGTTGTGTTGTATTTGGTGGAGAATGGTAAGATCAATGATATGGGTACTGTGCTCTTGTAACTTCAACGGGATTGTAATGAGAGACAAAAAGAGATTATGGTGTTAGAATTGCACGAAAAAGATCTATAACAAATAAATCATCAAGTGTTGGTGCGATTATAAGATTTGAAATCTTACAGTAATGTGCATCACTACATGCAATTCGGAATCCTTCTAATATTTATTGTAATGAAATACGCGTGT